GGGGGGGGGAACAAATAGGAGAGGAAAGGGAAAAAAACATACGATCCAAACCCAGGCACAGCACCCATCAACACCAACCCCTTGACCTTCACACTCAATCCACCCAAAAGACCTGCGCTGAGAATGTACTGCGCCAAACCTCCACCGCTGGAATGCCCGATTAGTACCATTTCCACCTCTTCTTTCCTTTCAACATGATCCACATCCACATCCTTCCCTACCTCCTTCCCTTGACCTTTAATCACTCCCCGACCCAGCTGCTGCTGCTTCCGCTGTCCCCGCTCCCTATCAACAGCCCATCGAATCCCACTCACCACATCCCCCGTCAAATCCCCCTTGGTCGTCCCGTACACCATCCGCAAATAAGAAGGGTACCAACTCCCGCCGTGGCCGCGCATGGAGATGGCGTAGCAAGGGATATTTTGTCGTTGTTGTTGTTGTTGGGAAAAGAAGGAGAGGTACTCGAGCCAGACGGAGGCGGAACCCATGCCGCCGTGGATGAAGAAGAGGGCTGGTTGTTGGGAGGAGGAGGAGGTGGTGGTGGTATGAAGAATCTCGAGGTCGCCGTGGGGGGTGGGGATGAAGGAGCGGGAGATCCCCGGGGGAAGGGGGGGTAAGGGGATGGGAAGGGAAGAAGAAGAGGAAGGGTGGCGGAAGTGGATGTTTTGGTAGGTGAGGTTGAGGTTGAGGTTGAGAAAGGACATTTTGGTTGATGGGAGGGAGGGAGCTGTGAGTTGTAAAGAGTAAGAGAGGAAAATGTGGTTGTTGGGTATTGTATCCGGGCTTTGAGCTGAGGGTTGCTGCGGGATGTGTTGGATTGGGTTGGATTCCGAAGAGTAAATGAGACGAAACTAAAGAAAAAGAATGTTGATATTGTCAGAAGTGGGCCCGTAGATACCTGGTCATCCTGAGTGGGAGTTGGCGGTGATATATGCTTTTGGTGATATATATATATACCGAAATGCGGCTGAATCCGGCAGTTCAACCCCGATGACTACCCGGGCAATTTCGGGGACCGTTCCGGGCGGCTGACAAAAGCCATTCTTAGCTTGAGGAAGGCCATCTATACTAGTGCCACAACGTTATAGCAACCAGGTGCGGGATATTGTAGTAGGATGTGGAAAGGAAGTCAAATTTCACACGAGTGTAAGACTTGGTGTCTGGACGTTTGACAGCTGAAAGGACGGAAAGTCGAGACGGGGACGTACTTGTATGGGGGCCGCGCACTGTTGATAAGTGGGTCAAGAAGTTTGATAGTGGGGAAAACTGCACGGCACTGTGAGTGAAGTACAGGCAACTGCAGTGAAATTGAAGAACCTCAACACCAAAACCATTGAACTTCTCTCCAATTTCGTCAACCTCATCGCGTGGGTCAGACATCTCAACATTCAGTCTTTGAATGTTCTGAAATTCACGCTTACCTTGCCTGATTCTTAAACCAACAAAAAATAATCACAAGCTTTTTCCACCGGCCACCCTCGAGTCGCATCGCCATGAGCATCGACATCCACACCACGACCCAACAGGGCGTACGCATTGCCGTAGAAGGCTGTGTGAGTTTTCAATCTTCCCTACACAACCAATTGATTGACCCCAATCCTAACGCCAATTCCAGGGTCATGGCACACTCAACGCCATTTACGCCGCCACTGAAAAATCGGCCAAGGAACGCGGGTGGGATGGCGTCGACCTCCTCATCATCGGAGGCGATTTCCAAGCCGTCCGCAATGCTGCTGATCTTAACGCCATGTCCGTACCCAAAAAGTATCGCGAACTCGGTGATTTCCACGAGTATTACAGCGGCGTCCGGAAGGCGCCATACCTGACCATCTTCGTCGCCGGCAACCACGAGGCTGCTTCGCACTTGTGGGAGCTGTACTACGGCGGCTGGGTGTGCCCTAACATCTACTACATGGGCGCCGCCAATGTGCTTCGGTTGGGTCCCCTGCGCATTGCGGGGATGAGTGGTATCTGGAAGGGATACAACTACCGCAAGGCGCATCACGAGCGCCTACCATTCAACGACGACGACGTCAAGAGCTTTTATCACGTCCGCGAGATCGATGTTCGCAAGCTGTTGCAACTGCAAACCCAGGTGGATATTGGCATTAGCCACGACTGGCCAAGGGCCATCGAGAAGCATGGAAACACCAAACACCTCTGGAACATGAAGCCGGATTTTGAGAGGGAGTCGGCTGATGGATCGCTGGGAAATCAGGGGGCGGAGTATGTGATGGATAGGCTGAGGCCACCTTACTGGTTTTCGGCGCATCTGCATTGCAAGTACTCGGCTATCAAGACGTATGATCCGCCGAAGGAGACGACTAGCGAGGGAGGAGAGACAGCGAAACTAGAGGAGACAGTCGTTCCTCAGCCCCAAAAGCAGCAGCCTGCGCCAGCGCCAGCGAACCCTGACGAGATTGATCTTGATATGGAGGACAAACCCGCGCCAGTACCCCAGCAACCGGCAGCACCTGTAACAGCGACCTCAAACCCCGATGAGATTGATCTTGATGAGGATGAAGTTACGCCTACAGCACCTTCACAACCCGCCCCCACATCGGCAGCCCCCGCCGCCGCCGTCACCGAAGAAGACCCAACCGAAGCTCTCCGCTCTCTCCTCCCAGCGTCCTTTTCGAATCCCAACCCCCAATCCTCTTACAACGCCCAACCCCACGGCGGAAACAGCAATAAGCCTAAACCCGGCCAACCAGTTCCCCCAACAATAACCAACACCACTGTCCGCTTCCTTTCCCTCGACAAATGTCTTCCCGGCCGCAAATTCCTCCAACTGGCCGAGATCGAACCCATCAACCCTTCAACCGAAGAACTACAACGTCCCCTCCGCCTCTCCTACGACCCAGAATGGCTCTCCATTACCCTCGCCTTCCACCCGCTCTTCCGCTCCGCCGTCGGCAAACACTGCCCCTCGGACCCCAACGCCCCCATTCCCGTGGACCTCGGCGAAGCTGGCTACAAGCCTTCAATCGAGGAAGCTCGGAAATGGGTAGATGAGAACATTACGGGCGATAAGTTGCTAGTACCGGAGGATTTCGTGCAGACGGCGCCGCCGATTGATTTGGTTAACAGGCCGGAAACGGGAAATATGACGGATGAGATGCCGGTGGAGTATACGAATCCGCATACGGCCGAGTTTTGTCGGTTGTTGGGGGTGGAGAATTATTGGGATGCTAGTGAGGAGGAGAGGGAAGGGAGGAGGGCGCAGGGGCCGAGGCCGATGGCGGAGAGGTTTGGTGGACGTGGTGGTGGGCATAGAGGTGGTGGACGCGGCGGTGGTGGGGGAGGAGGAGGAGGATGGAGAGGCGGACGTGGAGGGCGAGGAGGTGGAGGAGGAAGGGGAGGAGGCGGTGGTAGGGGAAGGGGTAGGGGACGCGGTGGATGGTGATAGCTGCGGGGCTGAATTGACGAGGTGCACGAGTGTTTTAATTTATTTTCGTAGCCTTTCTTCTTCCCGTCCTCTTCCATATCAGCACCATCAGTAAGAAGTCTTGCTCTGCTGGCACGACGTTTTCTTTTGTTCTTTTCCTTGCAACTCTCTTGCTGTTCAGGAAAAACAGCGTAAAAAAAGCCAAAAGAAAAGCAAAATAGAAAAGGTGT